TAATAACGTTATTGGTATCTACCCTGTTTTATTTGAGGAAGATTATTCACCAATGTATCTGAGAATGATTAACTGCCTCACTTCACTACCTGAGGGTTCCAGCTTCATTGAAGAGCCATCAAGAGTTTCAAATTGTGGTGAAACAGCACAATAAGGCTAACGAAAGACTACCTACCCCCTCCCCCTTTCAATATTCTGTCATTAAATAGTAAGAAGGAAACGTATATATCGGCAGAAGATAAAAGACTTGATATCGGACTTTTATTGAGGAAAAACACATTATAACTGTACATTCTTAGCCACATTAAAGTTCGTCTGAACGGTTGGCAATGGGTTATTTCATGCCCAAAACGTAAACTAAATCCAGGTTTCAGGAATAAACACTTCCACCTCTGAAATCACTGAATTAAAATGTTGATTTCAATACTGGTCGCTTCCTATGTATCTGCATCTATATCGCACATGTCACAGGTACATCATCAAACGAGTGATTTTCTCCAAAAGCAGAAGAAAAACAGCAAATCACGTAATAATCAACAAAACTATGGGAGCAGTTAGATGAGAATACTAAAAGAGTGAGTATATGCTCACTGGTCACTTGAGCATGACTCATGTTTTGTATCTAGACGCTTAATGTGCTGGTGCTGTCTAGCCTCTTTTAGTCGAGTTTGCAATCCGATTAACCAACTAGTTAATTAACCATCATCGTACACTTTCGAATAATAAAAGAGAGCTGGAGACAAATGGAGAAGAGCTCTAAACCTCCACCACACAGGAGTTGACGCTAAAATCATTGTCGCCACATTGTCACAGACTTTGTATGCACGCCATGGAAATAGCATTTCCAACAAGCTCCTGATGGTTTTCATCAGCAGCTGCCTCCGTACTAAAGATCAGAATGTACTATTTCCAACGAACATGCCTAAGAAAATGAGGTGACAGATCACAGATGCCGTCGTCTAGCGAAATCCTAATGGGAAATGACGAGTCGATGACATAAATCCGAGCAGCAAATTGTGTTGTGTGAAGAAAATAGAAGCTTATGGTTGATGTGGTTCCAGGCAGCTAAAAAAAAACAGACTATGGGGAACAGGATAAAATGGAGAGGTACCAAAGGAATGACAATAACAAAAAGTCTGACAACTACAGAAATTGTATTTTCTAGGATGATGGTTAAAACCAATCAATTTCCTGAATAACTTTCTGTTTAGAAACTTTTGAATACACGAATAAGAAGAAGAATTTGACTAAGTAACTAACGATAACACAAATATTTTGAATATCACACACACAGAAATGCGCGCGCATTTATACGAATAAAATCAAACTATTTGTCAAATAAATCTTTTCTCTCTCCTTTCATTTGTGACATTTATGTTTCACATATTTGTAATGTAAATAAAGAACTGTAGAAAATATTTCATATTATCATCTATTCATCCAAATAAACAGGCAAAAGTAAGTACGACATTGAATATTGAACAAGGCAAGTGGAAGGCAAATGGGCTAGTTCAAATATGTGGGTATGTGTGTACGTGTGACCTTGTCAATGAAAGACTTTCTTATTTTGTTCAAAAAATCAAAACTATTTTGTTTTAAATTATCAGAAGAAACAAAAATGAATGAATGCCATCTTCATTTTTACGATATTAAAACAAAAATTGGATTTGTTAATATTATTATCCCCTTAGGTTCCGAACAGAACATTGGACTACAACAGCAGATATTGATTTCATCCTTTTCTGTGCACTTCTTTTTAATAGGCTACATTAATGCACAGAATTTTTTCATTTTCTTCTCACTACATGACTTCTTCCATGTCATCCACGCCAAGCTCGTCGTTTTCCAAGCGAGTTCTAATCGAGCGATGGTCTGATTGGTGCATGACGTTACTAAATGGTCTCTTCAGCGTGTGTCCTGTCCATCTATCTCCATTTTCTTTGGGATATATGCTTGGCAACAGATTCTTGGTTGGTTCGTACTTAAAGTTCCTTGTCGTCATTTTCTTCTGGTTAGCCATCTGATCATCAGTGTCACATGGAATTCAGAAGACAATAGACAAAGTCTGAGCAAAGAAGAACATTCTGTTCAGATAAATTTTTCTTCATCTGGCCACTACAGTTATGTATTTATATATACATGCATATAATATTCAAAGAGTAATTGTTGCTGACACCTGTATTAATGTGCCTTTTTCCCTAAGTAATATCGTCTCGTTAATATGCATAAAAATATCTAATACTAAATTGAATATATATGAGATAAAATTAAGAAGAAAATTCCAAGTGGCAATTAAAGGTAGTTAAAACAATGATGACCAAGATAGGGAAAGCGGCCTGACAAATGTTTTCTGAACACACACACACACACAGGTTTGGCTCCTTCAGATGGATTCCGATGGTTTCATGTAGTTGTATGTAAAAAACAAACTCGTAAGGCGAAATGAAGGAAGCGTCTTCAGAATACGATAGATAAATGTCTTCAAATGCTTGCCTTGTCAACCACCATCAACTTTACCTGTTCAGTATCTACAGCTAGTGAGAGGTAAAACACACTTATGGCTAAGAACAAACCTTGTTTGTCCCTTGCTTAACAACGGGATCAGGATGTTCAGAAATCTGACAATGAACACGGCTTACTGTAACTGGAAAGCTCTGCGGGAGCACTCAAACTGATGGATTAATATAAAGGAAGCAAAATTGGGCAGTTTATTCTTAACTCCCGAATGTAAAGTTGTGGAGACAGTGTATCTCTACTGAGTTGAGTGCTTCTTTCACTGAATTCTTTAAACATTGTGTGACTGTATTGTTATTTAATGAGAAAAAACACATCATATTTATACATTCTTAGTACCATTAAAGTTTGGCTATTTCAGAAGTAAAAAAAATTGTTCTGATTGGTCGACAACCGGCCAAAGGCTAAACAGTTCATCCAGTTAGTTCATTTCATGCCCATAACGTAAAGGCTGCAACCGCTGTTTAAAAATATTTTGGTCGTTTCCCATCAGTCTGCTTGACGCCACATTATCGCTTTCACTAGTGTCAATGAACTTTCATTGATGTTCATTTTTACTCAGTGATTGTCTAGTAATCTTGATATCTTTGTGTAGAGATAGTCGTTAGAGCAAATTGCTCTCTCCTCTTGTAGTGAATTAGTACAAAGTCCATGTATTAAAAAGGCATTTAAAGTTACCCACCGTATTCAGATGCCTTTCCCACCTCGACCGTAATTGTCTTAAAATATATTTAACTGTACCACATAATTTGTTCATATGATATTTAATTTATTATCAGATATTTTTATGAAAAGTATCACTCACCTTCAATACACATGCTTCTTTGGATCTGTAATGCAATTTTTCTTCTTAACAAGATGATGCTATTTAAGAAAAAAAGGTATTAATGTCGTCCATTAGATTCGGAGTGGAACATAAGGCTTCACCGGTGTCACATCTCCATTTTATCCTGTTTCCATCAGTCTTCTCTAGCTGGCTACACGATTGCCTATAGGCTCTCATTTTCACACAATCTCTTCTAATATTACCATCGAAAAGTCGTATAATTCGTCATTTCCCATTCAAGTTCCATTCGAGTGATGGCCTGGTGCACAATGTCACTCAAATGCTCTCTTCAGAATGTTTCCAATTCATCCATTTCCATTTTCCTTGGAATATTTTTGGACTTCAATTTCTTGGTTAGTTAGCTGCCTTAGTTCCTTGTTGTTAGTCCTTTTTGGCCATTTGACCTTCAACATAGAATGAAGGCGGCTGTTCATAAAAGTCTGCAACAGTCTGTTCAGAATGCTTTCCGTGACCCTAGCACCAAGTTTCGCAAGCATATAGAAGAAATGACTTGACATTCGAGTTGAAATCCCAATCTTGTTCCTTATGTTGATTGCAGAAAATTTCTACAGTAATTTTAGAGTGATTAAGCTCGGTGTTGCTTCTCCAATTCTGACTGGCTTTGACATTCTCATCCTTGCCACTACCCGTTGTTGAAACGATGCTGCCTAGAAGTGGCCTGACTTACATTTCTTCAGTTGGGGGTGACTGGTGTGCGTTGTTATTGTTGATTGGATATCTTCCTCATATCCCTGTTCTCTGTACTCACTTGAAGTCCTTTCTTCTCTTTATTTCTCTTCTACAAGTCATAAATCATCCACTAAATCCATATCATGTAGAGTATTCTTATTGGTTCAATATATTCCTGTCTTCTGGCTCTCCACGTGTGGTGTTTCCAATTATCCACTACACCACAATTAGGATTATCATCAGTGGTAGTAATCAGTGGCCTTGTTTTAAACTCCTGTCTTCACTTCAAAGACAGGTTTCTCTGAATTTTCCGTTGTGGTTCACCTGATACGTGGTATTATCATACAGCCAGCTGTTGAGGGAGGCTGAACACTATACTCCTCCATAGTGTTGAAGTAGTTTCCGAACTGCCTCGCGGTTAACGCTGTCGAAGACTTTTTCAAATTAGTCGCCGAAATAGATGTAGAGTGAGGTTTGACTGGCATTCTATGAGCTATCTTTTTGATGATGATGATGATGATATGCAGAATTGATATTTGAACCGCACATGGTCTGCTTTTCCTGAATCCAGCCCAGCTTCTTTTGGGCTGACACAGTTCTGCATCCAATGCATCTTTTATTCTCTCCAGGTTGATTCTACTTATTAATTTCATTTGACGTGAACAACGAAATTAAACCAGGAGTAAAGCCAGTAGATGACTTAACAGAAGATTGTTGAGAGAGAAAGCACTGCAGTATTATACATAATCTCAAGCTTCTGTCGATAATCGGCTGAGAAAAGCTGGCAGTAAATTCTTGATTTTTCGAATAATGTGTGTTTACACAAGATTTGGTTTCATTACAATAGAAAAACACTTATGGATCAAAACTACTTTCTGTTAAACTTAGTCTTTTCTATACTAGGATAAATATGTATCGAATGCATTTTTAATCTAGAAAAGCTGATTGCATCTGTTTTAAACACTTTTAGCGTCTCAACTTACAAAGTAAAAGTAACTCAGAAACAGATGAGTATGAAAAGATCAATAATGATGGATCCTGTTTAATGAAAAAACAAAAACAGAGCATATCTGCAAGTCAGCTGGAAGCGAGAAAAGCTGAATTAGAATTATGGCGTCAGCAGAGAGAGGAGATGAAACGACAAGAAGAGGAGATTAAAAGACAAGCCGAAATTGAAGCAAAACGTGCTCAAATGAAAATGATAAAAAAGAAACAGGTAAGTTACCTCCCCTTCAGCTGTTCTATGAATTGGATAAGATGGTTTCATCACAGTTATTATTTCGTGTGGGTTGCTCATCAGCTCTGCGTAGAATAATTAACTGAGTTTATGTAGGGAACAATTTTAACATACTTGCAAATGTGATGACATGATGTTATTTAATCACAAGACAGACTTCAGACTTAATAAACAGTGATCAGAATTTACACGTGATTTTCCCCATAGGCTGAAAGTTTACGTTTTTATTAAAACAGAAACAATCCTTTCAAAATGGACATTTGAACTTCAGTATTGACTGACTCAAGGAAGTCAGCTGTTGATGAAAGTTTGCAGTGAGTTGTCTGTTGGAGATCCGTTCAGTGACTAACGGACGGATGTTAGGTCTGTAGAGTCTTCTTGTCTGCCCAACCTATCCCTGTCTTCTCGTTCCCCAAGCATGGTCTTTCTTTAGGTCTGTTTTCAGGGTTTATAGAGGAATTCCATCTTGTCCTAATACATTCCTAGATGACCTCCGGTAACTTTATGGCATTTACGACTTGTGCTGTCATCGAAGGATAGATGTTCACTGGGAGTTCTGTGTCTGTTGTTGGCAGTGGTATTTCTGAGAGACAGAACTAAGAACAGACCTTTTTTCACTTGCTTAACCAGCACTATAAGCAGGATTAGGATATTCAGAAATTCAATGATGAACACGCCTAATTGTGACACTTCGATGTAACTGACTGGACTTACATGAGCAGTCAAATTGTGGTAGATAAACATGGGGAAAAGGAAGGTTAAATTACGGTAAGGCGATAACACTTGATGAGTATTTGAAATCAAGTAACACCCCCCCCTCAATTATATCCATTTATAACTCAAACTGTGTAGAACAAAAACTCAAATATCTTATATTTTTATGCATTTATTGATTTGTGTATTATAAGGCAGAATTACGCAATAAAATAACTGCGTATAAAGAGGAGAAAATGGCTGAAAAGTTGGAAAATCTACGCTGTTTAGCAATACAGGCTGAAAGTGAACGACTAATTCGTCAACGTCAAGTAACTAGCGCTACAGATCGTATTCAACAAAGAGTAAGCATACAAAACCGCCTCCTTTTTATTTATTTATTTTTCATGAGTCTCTTTTTTCGTGACGATTTAATATGCTTAGACCACGGATTGATATCAGTTAAGAAAACTTTGAAAACCAGTCACAGGGCGTACTGCCAGATAGCTGTTTCGTCAGCCTATTTCGTAGCTCGTCGGAGGTAAATAACCAACATCTGGGTTCCAACAACCCAGCACTCTCCGATTACAAGTTAAGCTCGTAGACCATTAACCCCTATTGAGACCCTCCAGACTCAGCGGCCAGCCCGTCAATTCTCGCCTCTAGCGATTCGTGGTGTACAGCGCATCCGTCACGAGGCAACGTCACCCGTGATGTGAACTTTTTCTCACTCCTGACAATTAAGTGGACTCCACTTGTCACAACTTCCCACTAGAAGTCTAGTTGAGTCCAACACGTGGCCAGCCAGTCACTAGCGAGCATCCCTTTAATTTTGAATAGTGTTATTTTGTAGAAGGGGATTTGATTTGTTTCAAGTTTGACCCCAATTTGACATCAATTAGAGAACCATCAAAAACCAAGGGGTACTGGAGTGATTTTACTATTCACCTATTCATTAGTGGGATTAAGTTTTCCCAAAATAATGTTTATTTGCTTCTAAAGCCATGATTTGCTGTGGAGCTGGAGGGAGTTGGTTGATTTCAAGTTTGGTGATTAACTGATTTCACTTACAGAATTGAAGCCAGCGTATGACATTGCCTGACGGTCCTGATGTATGTCACGAATAGTAGTCAGAAGTTGGGGCTGAATTCAGTCGCAGTGGCTGAGCAGTCAAATGGCTTGCTTTGTAACTTGAAGCTCCTGCTTGGTTCTATCGCTAGTGGTTGCGCTTATCGGTGTGTAATGCTGAAGAGTCAGTATCGAATTATGAAGTCAAGACAGCTGTCCAACATACCAATGCCAGTTTTCACTGGTGCTTTCTAACCGGAACCAGTTGATGGTCTAATAAAACTTGGAAATTCAGTTACATTATAGCGCTTCATCACTCTGACATCAGTTGGGAAGTCTGATGCAATCCGCATCAGAATAAACAACGAAATTCGAATTCTGTACAACACCAGTGTTGAATCAATGACTTCTTCTAGATGGGTCATAAACTTCAGCGTGTCACGAAAAGCGTTTCAAGCAGACTACGACAGACTTTCATAAGTTTTTCCGTGTTTTCACAATGGAGATCAGTTAATCTGCCAGAAAGAATTAGCAACAAGAAACCCTGTGAACGAACTAACCAATAACCAGTTGGTCAGCAATAAGAAACTCCAGCAGTGAACCGACCAATGAACATTCAGAAGGAAACGGAGATGGATCGATTGGACATACTGTTGTGTTGATCAATGTTCAGTCTGGAGACTAAACAATCAGAATTTAGCCCATGTTATTTATCGGTATCCAGTCCATAAATGAACCGATCAGAGTCAGGCTTACGTAAAAATAATGACCATTATTTTTTGATCATGATTGCAGACAAATTGACATATCCTTGGAGGTCATGTGAAGAGGAGATGAAAACGTGTGGGCAGACTTGGAGCCAGGTGAAGACTCTAGCAGAGAACAGAACGCAATGGAGACGCACGGCTGAAGCCCTATGTTCCTGTAGGAATTAAAGGATACAATAATAATAATAATGGAGACATTTTGAATCACACATTTTCACTGTGTAAATTATACTTTTCGGCCGACTTCTCTGTGTGTTCTCGTTTAAGTAGTGCGGACTGAGGGAACAGGTGGGTGTCATTTAGTGAATGTTGTTGGCGATAGTCTTTATCAGCGTGTCTAAGGTTTCTGTTCTTCTCATTCTCTTCCAGCGGGCTTCATTACTGATTTCACACCATCATCTCTTTCGGTTAACCTCGGCCACATTCCGAACTCGTTTCTTCCCCACTTAGTTTTCACTTGACTGCCTAGATTCAAAACTTAAATTTGGCACACAAACCAACAAAATCAATCAATATCTCAATTCTATACAAACTAAATTGCCTAACAACAAAAGAAAAGAAAATCAACACAGCTTCGACAAAGAATAAATTGCATAAGTTATGAAAGAAACTGTATAGGCGAAAGTGGCTACGCCCTTCAAATTTGCATCTAAGGAAGTAAATATGATACTAGATTCCTTCACTACATGTAGGAAACAACGGCGTTCCACCAGGAGACAGAACATCCGAGTGGTTGAGAGATAGAAATGATACCGTATGCAATTCTCGTCATTCAGGAAGCCTCTCCTCCTGAAAAACAGTACACAGTTATCCACTCAGTCGACAGGTATATCATAAAGGGAATCTCGAACTGACGTTTCATCAGTAGAATGCTCGCCAAACAAGCACATGACTCCGCTCCGCGGCTGAGGCATACGTATGCCTTGACTGCTCATTCACTAAAAGGTGGTTCGGAAAAGACAGGCAGTTTCGGTATGAGGCCATGTCGTCAAAACAACAACAACACCTATACTGAAACTTTAAAACTCAAGTTTAAAACACTATTTGCAAAACTCCTGGTACTCAGATCAATCTTCATTCAACAGAAATCCTGACATCGACTGAATCATATGACTGAAAGGTCAAATACACCAAACGAACGAAAAGACCGATACCAATACAAATTGATGCTTGGATTATGAATCTCCTGAAGACATCCACTCACACAGACATGGCCATCAGAAGAGACAGTTGGATTAAGCATAAAGCATTACAAAGAAGCATTCACTTTACATACATACTTAGCAACCGCCTTCCTCGATGGGAAATAGGATTACGTTGGAAAAACGCTAGTGATAGTCAAAGCGAAACACGGAATCAGTCAATGAAGTCCACAACACTTATTCTAAGCTATGTAGGGAGATGAAAACTTAATGGTTAGGTTCCTTGATATAGTGAGAACCAATTGGTCATGGAGAAAGTTAGTGATATGGCTCGAAGTTCTTGTTCTCACTGTCTGGCACAGATGCATTCACTCTGTAATTTTTCATATCTGAAGTTCAGAGGAGAGTCTCTTTTCGGTAAACTCATTTTCTTAGCTGTACAATCGCAAATATGCATGCGTTTTTTTGTATGTATGTGTAAATTAAGCTTGTCAAACAAAATTACAATTGGTTATGGTTATTTTAACTAAACAGGTGAGAATTAGTAAGTTTTGGCTGGAGTCATGTAGTACAAAAACGGTCAAAAAATTGGGTGTCAATGAAACTAGGGTGGTAATAAAGGTGATGAGATGTCACAAACAGTTGTTAAAAATGAGTTACGTAATAACACGGATAGTTTGATGATTGAGTTGTACTCAGGATGCACATAGAAAAGAAGTAGAGAATACGAAATTACGTAAGAGTTCTAAATGATTACAAGAATTATAAACTGTTAAAGAAATAAGCAAACAAACAAAATTAAGTCATCAAAAATCAACGAAGTTGTTACCATGATAGTAGAAGTGGTTGAGCAATTCTCTTTTGTATGCACAACTTCTGTCTTTCTATGTGAATGGCCAGGGCTTCAGTAATGCAAGTAAGACGAAACGTAACCGTAGGTTATTCTTGACTTTGTAGATAACTTTGAAGGAGTGGTTTGTTGAGATGGAATGAACAGTGTTGACCAGGTGTTCAATTATCGCACTCCTTTTGTACTACTGTTGGTTTTTCGCAACCATGATGGATAGTTTTCTTGAAATTCATGTCAAATGATTTCATAAGGCATCTTCACCACACTTCTATGCGATCTGGTTCTTTGGAGCCCTTTTTAGTTGGCTCTACGACTTCCCATAAGCATTCATTTCCTCCTCCATGTCATCTTCGAACCCAAAACCAGCTCGTTGTGTCCCATTTGGTTTGTGCTCTATAGTTTAATGTGAAGTATGATGTGAATCAATGTTTTCATCATCTGAGTTCTTCTAATAAATCTCCATATCCCTTAGTTCTTTGCCAGAATTCACTGTATTTGTTAGTCCTTTCTGGCTAGCGATGTGTTTTTCTCTATCTAGACAGAGAAGGCAACAGTTTTTTTTATTACAGCTTGATGCCACACCGTATTTTCAGTACAAGTATGGAATTTTCAGCATGGATATCGGTAGCCCAAATTTTGCAGGCCGACCATAGATATCGGGTGTGCGTCGGCAGAGGATTGAACTCCGGACCACGTGCATGGTCGGCGAGAGTCCTAACCACTGTGCCACCGACGCACAGTTGATATAGTTGTCTTAAGTAGCCTGTTGGAAATGCTTTTCATGGAACGCCCACCATGCCCTTGAAGTATATAGAAGTAATGACTGAGTTATTCAGCATTAGTTTCGCAAATACTAGTCTTGTTCTTTATACTTAGTAGCTCAGTGGATTGTCACACCGACTTCGAATTAACAAATTTCAGACTTACTTTCATGATACTTCCTGACTTTGATTTCTTCACCTGCCCCGCCGCTCAGAAAGTGGAAGTGGTGTTAATAGGGAATTGGTTCTGGTTGACGATATTTTTTGTTGGTCATCCCGTATCTTCATCACGTCTTTGTCTCCACTATATTGTTCACTTGAGGTTTCACCTCTATGTCTTGAGGATTTTGTTCAGCATTAGACTAAAATCACCTACGCGAAATCCAGATCACCAAGAGTCTCTTCTTAGATCAGGTATTTTCCTGTTTTCTCTCTCCTCACAGTCCTTCGTATGACCTAGGCTGGCGAAATCAGGAATTTCACTTCAGGTGACAGTAGCTGTGTTCTCTGATTTTGACAGATTAACAACTCCCAGAGTTTTCGTTATCCTACTAGGCAACATCCGCAGTGAAAGCTATATTCAGTAAATTGATACCCTATGATTCCCAAAACAAATTGTGTAAAGACTTTGTTAAAAAGAGTTCAAACACACTATACCTATCCAGTCCTGAAGAGAAAAGAAGAGAGATATCCACTAACTCTGTCCTCCGAAAAAATTAATGCCCATACTGTTTCATTAAAAAATGAATACTTAGACTAAAGAAGCCAAAAGTAAAA